CTCTCTCTCTCTCTCTCTCTCTCTCTCTTACAGTACTTCTAAAACACAAGTTTGCTGCCATCTCCTGGCTAAACACTATTCTGGCACTGTCAGATTTGTTCACACTATACCCCATTCCAAAATCCACTGAACTGATTTAATGTTTATTAAAAATCTTAGAAATATGAATTCCCATGCTTAGTCCAAGTAAAAAACATTTTTTTCTTGTAACACAGAAAGAAATTATAGCCTATCTAGGTGCTGGAAGAAAAAATATTTTTGACTCTGAGCATGAGGACTCATATCTGGACAGAAAAGAGAGACTTTAACTTAAGAGAGGATTTCACTAATTTATTCTTGTGTTTGTTTCATTATTTGTAAGTTGCTTTCTCAAAAGAAGAAAACTTCATGAAAAACTGTCGTGCTTGGTGCTATTGCTCATTAACATGTTCAGAAATCCAGCAACAGTGAGCTATAGTGGCGCTTCTCAAACTATCTATGGTGAAGGACCAGTTTTCTTTTTTTTTAATTTCTAATCTGTCACGGACCAATATTTTTGCAAAATAAAATAAAAATGAATGATTAGAAAAACAAAGTAAAAAAACCAAAGGCAAAGGAAATACAAGCCCAATGTTTTAATTATTAGATTCAACAAATATAAAATTACATTTTCATAAATACAATTAGAACAGTCATAACATAGGAAAAAAGAAATTAATTACAAAAAATGCACATGTTCATTAAAATTGAGCATAGTATATAGGTGATTAATCTAGAGAATCACTGCTATGCTTATAATTTTTTGCCATTGCGCAATCATAACTAAACAATGTTATGAATGAAATAGCAATTTCCAGTATTAAGTACCTATTTGCACACTTCGAATGAACACTCTGTATTTCAATATTTAAAGTTTGTAATGTGACAAATGAGCTTGCTTCCTGCTTGTTAATTTACCTAATCTACTTTGGATTGATGGCTATTTGCTTTTGGGTTACAATTGACAAACTAACCTTAAAATATCACATGTTGTAATATGGTCCTACTGCACATGACTAGTACATAACTTGTGCCACATGTAACTCACCCTGTGAGTTTGACAACACTAACTGATCTATAACAAGTCCACTCATCAAGTACTTGGATATTGCAGTAATATCAAACTGCTATAAAATTTCTAAACGCTTATTCTTGAATTCCACTCTTATCTCGTTGCAGACCTGTAGCAAACAATTTGCCCACAACCTCCATCTCCCTATATAGTAGTAGCCGTGACTCTAGGAAGATCTCCACATAACGGACCTGCTCTTTCTGGAACAGTGCCTCCACACAGGAGTTAGCAGCAAGGTGCCAGATGGGGTATCTTAATGGTACGTGAGAAAGACCTTAAGAGACTGAGTGAAGAGATGCTACCTAGGGAATGGTCAGATAAGAGACAGCACAGCCCGCAACTATGTAATGGGAGGAGCAAGAGGCTCAAAAGGGGCCCTCCCTAATTTCTCAAGATGTATTTTGAGACTTGCAAGATTGACGTCAGCCTTCCCAGGTAGACCCGACAGGAAACACGGCCAGATGAGCTACTTCTACATTATTGTAAGGCTACATTAACAGAATCTTGCAAATCTGAAAGTACAAATCTCCCGTCTTCTTTATAGCCTAAGAAGCTAGGGAGGGTCCCTTCTGAGCCTCCTACTCTGTCCCTTATGCAGCTGTGGGATATGCCCTCTCTTATTGACCATTCCCTAGCAGCATCTCTTCGCTCCATCTCTCAAGGTCTTTCTCACACACCATTATAGGTATGAACAAACAACACCTCCAGTTTCTCCCCACTCAAATCTCCAAGTTGCTAGGAGTTCTACCATCACCCCAGCCTGTCCTATGGTGGTAATCTACTGCATTCTAATGATATGACACACTGAACCAACAGATGATCTTTCCCAGTAGCTTCATATAAGGGAAAGAGGAATTCTGCAACACCTCTTCCAAGTGATAGGCATAACCCTTCCCTAAGAGAGGTGCCTTCAGCCTCCTAGATCATCTGCTCACATTGCTTCTGAATCTGAAGGAGTCAGAAAGGGCAGGTGCTCAGCCTACAAGCAGCTAAGGTCATCCCATAGATCTCCCTATGGGATCTCTAGGATGACTCCCTTTTCAGAGTGCACAAGCCAACAAAAGTCCCAGATAACCTTGCAAGTTGCTATTACTGTCACTTCATCTGACCCTGTGCATGCAGAGGCCAGGCCAGAATGAATCTGAGTGATTTTATTCATGAAGTGTTACCCAAAGATCTCAAGGAGGCCCTCAGAAAGTTCTTCCTGTCTCCTGTCCTTCACCAGGAAATGTGTTACCCTACCTAGGGTTCCAGGGACATAGACTGCAGATGTAATAAGAGTGGAGAACTGAGTCTTTATGGCCAAAGTTTAGGCTTGAACATGATCTCTCACTTATGTCTGGTCCAGTTCACTGCTGGTCTCCCTCATCTGGGGCTCCAGGCATCTCTTCTGCCACTTCAGCTCCTCAGTAAAGCAAGGAGCCCCCCAGGATCAGTGCACCAGATCAGGCATGTTCTCATCAAACTGTTCCAGACACCAAGCAGACATACAACTAAACCACCTATCAAGTGCTGGGGAAATCTCCAAAGGCCCTCTGGAATCCATCCTGATTCATTAGCAACTGGGGCAGAGCATCCTCATTGGTCCTTCCACCCAACATAATAATTTGTGTCCATATATTACAGAAATTGTAATTCAGGCACATCTTCTGAAAGCCACATAATAAAATAAATCAGGCCAAATCCTCTCCCCACATACTTGCATTGTAATTCCAATTACTGTACCCACTCACGTCATCCCCCTGCCCAGTTGTACAGGCAAAGGCCTTATTCCCACTTACACAGTACCCGCATGCCCTGGCATCTCTTTAGCAGCACAATATTGTCTTCATCTGCTTTTCAGCCTGTAAATGAAACAACCTTAAGTGGTCACTCTGTATACCTAAATAGGAATAGCCCATTCCCCTGAAAGCTGACACTATTCCATCATAGCTCCCCCTCCCCTCTGGCCATGCCCCCCAAACATTAGTATTTGGTTTTCTGAATCCTTTTCATGATTGTCACCCTAACCCTACCCATATTTGAAAGCAATTTCTCTTCCTCACAAGGTAGAGGAAAAAGCACAGAATTCCTCTGTTCTGTTTGGAAAGGAAGAAGGGCATCCAGGGATGGGTAAGGATTCAAAATCTGCAAAAGGGTGGGGGCGGCATTGAGATCCAAGCCCCACCTCCTTTGTGAAAAGGGGTGTGGCACGTACTCACCATCTTGCAGCTTTTGAAACACCTCCCCTGCAGAGGTGGCTGGTTATATAGAATACTGGTTAAACACCACGACAGTAGCCTGCTTTAAACGGCAACAGTGGGAATCTTTACTTTTAGATGAAGCAGCCCCACTTTTTCTTGTCCAGAAGATAATGAGGGATAACAAACTGGACTTTTGTAGCTTATTTGCCAGTTTCCCTTTATTTGTCAGTTTCAATAGCTTCTTCCTCCTCACCCCCAAAGTCAGAGACATTATAGACTAGCCCTGCAGATTCAGTGATCCCGCTCTACGGGCCTAGCTAGTTGCAAGATCAAGGCAGGGTCTTCCCCCCCCCTGACCCCCACCCCGGGGCTAATTTCTGCCTGGCGTCTTCTAGATCTTAATTTCTTTTGACTTTGAGATGCCCAGACAGTCCAGGCAGGTCCCAAAGCCGGATCCAACCATATTCTTGACCCATTGCTCCATTTGTGGATATTTTCTGTGCGCTGGCCACGCCCGAAAAGGAACAGCAGCAAAGCCCACCAAGAAACCAATCCCCTTGTCACGAAAGGTGTTTCAGCGAGATGGGCGGTGGCAAATTTGATATGTCAATAAAAATAAATAAATAGAGAAGGGCCCATTCCAAATCACGGCAACAGCATCTGGCAGCGATCAGAGGAAATGCGATAGGGTAAGAAGTGGTAGCATTATTTTCTGAGCAGATAGCCAACAGTGGGTAAAGATCCATTGTTACTTTACGGAGCTATAGAATAATTTAAAACCCATAGTCTATGGCAATGTTTCTCAACCTTGGCCGCTTTAAGATGCGTGGACTTC